AAAGAAGAAAGAGCTGGAAGCTTCAGTACCCCTCTACATAACTGATAGGACAGTCACTGAGAAAATCGGTAAACATGCACAAGATCCTAACAGCACTGTTAACCACCATGACCTAACTAACCTTATATCCCACGCATATTTAACACCTAAGAGGTACAATATGCTCTTCACTCAGATGAATATGCTGGACCCAAAGATAAATCTCAACAAATTTCCAAATACAAAGACTTACGGAACACATTCTCTGACCGCAAGGGACATAAATTCAAAATCAACAATAGTAAGCTAGCTAGAAAAGCCCCAAATATCTGCAAATTAAACAACACACTTGTAAATAAACCACTGGTAAAGAAGAAATCACGAGGAGAATTAGAAAACATTTTATACCAAGCAATAAGAAAACACAACATATCAAGATGTATAGAATGCAGAAAAACAGGTCTTAGATGTGTATTTGTGGCTTTAAATGCTTATGTTAGGAAGGAAGAAATGGTTAAAAATCAATTATCTATGTTTTCACCTTATGAAAGTAGACTAAGAAGAGTAAATTAAACCAAAGTAGAAGAAAAGCAACAATAAAGAGCAGAAATCGATGGCACAGAAAACAGACAAACAGGGACGCCTGGGTGGCTCAGTAGGTTGAGCGACTGACTCTTGGTTTTGGCTCAGGTCGTGATCTCGGGATCATGAGAGCAAGCCCTGCTTTGGACTCTGAACTTAGTGAGAAGTCCGCTTTGGACTCTCTCTCCCCCCCTACCCACTCCTCCACCACTCTAAAATAAATAAATCCTTAAAAAAAAGAAAGAAAATAGACAAATAATAGAGAAAATGAACAACACCAAGGTTGGTTCTTTGAAAAGATTAATAAAACTGATAAACCCTTATCAAGACCAATGAGAGGAAAAAAATGATATAAAACACTAACACCACCAAACGATATCAGGAATGACAGAGGGGACATCACTAGAGTTAGATATCAAAAAGATAAAGAGAGAGGGGCTCCGGGGTGGCTCAGCCAGTTAAGCGTCTGCCTTCAGCTTGGGTCATGATCCCAGAGTTCCGGGACTGAGCCCTGCAGCAGACTCCCTGCTCAGC